CTAGCCTCCACTACAAAGTGAAAGCCTGTCTCAAAAACACAAAGCAAAACTAAATTCGACAGGGTAGTGTTCCATAGCATGGGTCCCAGGACCTTAGCAGAATAAAACACACAGTCCTCAGCACTGTCTAGGGCTAAATTACACTGTTCATGGTCACTGGAAACCAAAAGTTGCTGAGTCAGAGTCCAGATTTCAAATACAGAAATGGGTGTTTCAGTTGAAACGCTTTGTAACACTCTATGTAAAATGTTGGTTACTATGTCTAGGGCTTCAATTTCTATTTTATTTTCAAATATGAAATATATTTTAGGAGATAGAGTCTCATTATGTACTCCGGGATACTGCTGGACTGAGTGAAGCCCAGGCAGGGCTTGAACTCATGATCATCATACCCCTACCTCTCTGCTTTGGAGCTTCTCATCTTCACCAAAACTTGCCAAAGCTTTATCAAAACCTTGTATCTGTTAACTTGGTCTCTCTACATAAAAATATCTGAACCTGGGAATAGTGTCGCACACACTTTCTCTGAGCTGTACTCAGGCAGATTCAGGAGCATGACTTGGCAGGCATGGATAACATACAGTGAGACCCTGGCTCTCTGTGAAACAGACGAAGGCCTGGCCAATAGTTCAATGAAAGAATCTCTCCAAGACTAATGCTCAGTACTCCCCACAACCTCCAAAATTTTTCATAAGGTTTAAAAATAGCACAAAACTCCATATAATATATGTTTCTCACACCATATGGATATTGAGGCTTCAAAACTCAAAGGGTATGTTGGGATATTTAAATAAGAGGCCCCTATTCCTATTTTCAGTAGATACAGGAAAAGTCCATTGAAAGTGTTTCAGTTGACTAAGAAATGTCAAGAGCCAGTTTTGGTTTGATTTATTCACCTCTGCATATACAAAGGAGAAAGCAGAAAGAGATGTGCTCAGCTGAAGAGTCCCTTCGTATCCGAGACTATCGGTGTTGCTAAGGTTCTAGGAAGAGGGTGAGCACACACTGGTGACATCACAAATGTTGTTTGGAAGCCACACAAATAAGCATATTTCTCACTCCTCATTGGCTAAGCCACTGCTAACATGTGTTTTATTGTTGCTCCCATAATAGACACTTTCCATGTTCCTTTATGAAAAAGTTTTAATACTTTATTTTGTTGTTTCCAGTTCATAGAGTTTACTATTATTTTGGTGAGTGGTTTATCTGTACATACCATAGCTTATTTGTAATTGTTATATCCCAAAGCCTTCTTCCAAATACCCTCTCATTTGTCATTCTCTTTGATATTGCTTTTTTTTTCTCTGAATGGATATTGCTTTTTAAAAGAGAGCAACAAAAACAGAAATAAAATAAAACAGAATTTCAGGTCAGGAGCATAACAGTAATTAATACATTGTTATCTCCATAGTAATTGCACAGAGTACAAGCTATAGGCATGCAATAATGTCCAGATGATATAGCTATATAGATATAGATATATTTCCCTTTTCCATTCTTTTGCTCTTTCTCCCATGCATCTCTCTCTCTCTCTCTCTCTCTCTCTCTCTCTCTCTCTCTCTCTCTCTCTCTCTCTCGTTTCTTTCTAGTTCACAATATATATATTGTACAATTTGAGACTTATTTACTCTTTCAGTTCCTTACACTAGGGAGACAATGTGATGCTTACACATATAGGTCTGGTCTGATTTATTTCACTTATGAGTATGTTCTCAACTTGTGTCCATTTACCTATAAAAGTCTGGAGTTTCTTCTTCTTTGTGGTTGAGTGCTACTCCTCTTAGCTGAGGTACAGAATTAGCTCTGTGATTTGTGTTTCTGGCTCAGTCTTTCTTGAGGTTATTCAGGGTTCTAAGTCATATCTGGATCTAGAGGGGATGAAGAGATGCAGGCTCACTTCCTTGTTACAGGCATCCCTGACTGCTCCCTGGGCCACTAGATGTTAGGCAAGGAGAAGGAATGAATGGAAGCCACAGTGACTTTGGAACTCATCTTGGAAGTCATATTAATCTATGCTAATGTTCACAAAGTCCAATCTTAGCCCAACAGGAGAGGTTAGGGAAGTTATGCTGAAAGAGACCAGTGGCTACCAGCTGTTTCATGAGGTACTGGGGATTGAGTCCAGAGATTTCACTTGGAGCTTCCTGCCCAACCCTTATTATTTGGCTGATTTTTTTCCTTTTATTTGTGGAACCAGGGATTGAACTCAGACCCTTGTGCTTGCCAGAGAAGCACTTATTCCACTAAGCCATCTCCCTGGCCACTATTTGGTCAATTTCAAGACAGTATATCCATAATATTATTCAAGCTCTACTGGATATCATGCTCCTGACTCTGTCTCTCTGAATACTGGGATTTTTTTCTTTATACTTTAGAAATGAGGTCTCACCAAGTTATTAAATTGTTCAGATTGGGCTGAACTTGTAATGCTTTTGTCTCTGCCTTCCAGTGGGCTATGATTATAGCCATGGGTTACCGATCCTTTTAGCCTTTCTGCAGAGAAGGTATTTTTCTTACAAATTCCTTCAGATGCATTTTTAAACTGCTCTGTCTTCCTCCTTCCCTGCCACACTCCACTTTCCTTCTTCTTCCCCCACCTCCCCTGCTTTTTCATCCACATCTTTCTTTCTAGGATTAAATACAGAGCTTTTTGGATACTCTAATGCAAAGACACCATCAGCCTCTCTTTCCACTATATATATATATATATATATATATATTTTTTTTTTTTTTCTGAGCACTTTAATTATGTTATTCCACTGCCTATGACATATAGGAAATATCAAGTGAATATCTGCAAGATACTTATACTTACTATTCCAATGGCCACTCCCAACATTTTCCTTAGATTTTTAGAGCTGGATGCAAAAGAATAACAGCAATGGATTAGTAATAATGTTGAAAAAGCCTACATTTCTCTAGATTTTTGCCTGTGTCATTGTTCTTGTTGGGGTTACAGAAATTAGCAAAGTCTGATACTGATTCCTTTATAGGTTCATTTTTTTTTTGTTCTATGGAAAATGGTATTAAAGTCAAAGCACCTAAGGCCTAAATCAAATGAGGTAAAAATATTCCACAGACATGTCAGTCTTTGAATGGATTATCTCTGACAGATCCTTCATGGTCACACTCAGTAGGCATGTACTACCCTAAGCAAAGTTTCTCCTCTTGATCAGACTCCAGCAAGCCTTCCCCAACTGTCTTCTCTCACAAGCCTCAATCTTGGCCCACAAAGAGTTGGACAGCAGCAATATAGATTCTAATGGATCCAATCTACATTGTTGATGACCTCAGGCCACCTCAAGGGGCCTGTCTGAGAAAACTCAAGGCTACCAAGGAAATTTATTGCCTGTTCCAAACAAACCCTCAAAGAAGGCAGCTCTCTTCCATTGTCCATGGAAGGATAAGAGTCTCATTTAGATAAGTGTCAGCAAACTCATGGAGTAATTAAATTAACTGTATAACCAATTGCTTTTATAATTCCCATTTTTCTGACTCCACTGAGTCATCCCTTCCTATTCTTTCATTCTCCCTTTAAAATTTTGGTCACCTCTGTACTGATGGAAGCTTTGTGAGGTTGTGTTCCATTCACTCTAACCCTATTGTCAGCTGCTCAAGTATATTTGCTTACTGGACCCAAACAAACTATAGAAGGTTTGGTGAAAAGGAAAAAAATAAATTATTTAAAGCTAGCTTTGAAGAGATAGAAGAACCTCATATTATCACAAATCACCATCTCCCTTTGTCATGGCATGAAAGACCATTCTATAGTAAGACAGAGAAAGGTGAGTCATTACAATCAGGCAATAGGTAGCTCTACACTTATCCCATCAGCCCCTTTTCCACTCCTTCCCTTCTTTATAGGCAGGAAAGTGAATTTTAATTTCCTGGTGCCAACAACTGCATATTCTGTCCATTTGTCTAGGACAAGGAAGTTATATCTTCCCAACCTAGGAAAGTTTGGAAATGGGACTTATCTAACTTTAGAAGTTCTATTTTGCTTGCTTATTACAATTCCTCCCTTATTTTGGTGCTGAGATAGATTTTTATCTGGCAATATTTAGTTAGCACATATTCCAGGCTAATGAGGCTGTGACAGAAAATTTGAGTCAGTTTCACAAAACCATTCCTGCTCAATCTAAGCAATATAAATGATTTTGAAAAGCTGGTTCATATAATTATTTTTAAAAATTCAAACCAGAGCAGCTCTGTTTTGAGATTCTGATATATTGCATCATCAGTTTGGCTGGTTAATGTTGGATTGGTGCCGATATTCTATCAAATGTAGCTGGACCATAAACAAAAGGAACCAGATGTCAGTGCCTGGAAAAGTACAACTAATAGTTGCAAAGCCAAATGTAAAGGAAAGTCAAAGTCAGGAGATATATCACAGCTACACAGTTGGAAAGGCCCTTTATGTTAAGGCAGTCATACATAACCCTTTTCTGAAAAAAAATCATAGCACTGGTTATTTTTGGCATGGTTAACACAAGTGAATCCTTTTTATGCTCACAATTTTCTCCCTTGTCTTCAAGAGAATTATTTTCCCTCAAGGAATTCATTGGTGCTGTGGTAGCTTTTTCTGGCAATGTTTAGTTAGCACATGTTCTAGGCTAGAGAAGTTGTGACAGAAAATTTGAGCAAGTTTCACAAAACCTTTCTTGCTCAATCTAAGCAATATCAATGATTTTAAAAAGCTGGTTCAAAGAATTATTTTTAAAAAATTCAAACAAGACCACATCATAACAACAATAAACACCTCAATATAACCAAAGAAATGGAAATTCTGCAAAGTGATCCTGTGTAAAGAACAAAAAAGGAAAAGAAGGGCTGGTGAGACGGCTCAGTGGTCTAAAGCACCTACTTAGAAGAAGCTTAGCAAAGCACAGGGACTGCGGTTCAATACTCCAGCACCACATGCCAGCCAGCCCCACCCCCTGGTGGGCTGAGCTGGCGCAAACACACACACACACACACACACACACACACACACACAAATAAAGAAATAAAAATTTTTAAAAAATAAAAAGGAAAAGAAGTAGAAAGAGGAGAAGAAAAAAGAGGAAGAGAGATAGAGACAGAAAGTGAGAGAGAGAGAGAGAGAGAGAGAGAGAGAGAGAGAGAGGAGAAAAGAAAGAAGAGAGAAAGAGGAGAGGAGAGAAGAGTGAGCAGAGACTGCTGGTCTTCTCTACACACTTTAGATTTTATATTTTCCAGTTCTACTGTTGTATAGTTGAACCAATTTCTTAAATCCACTCTCACTCTCTCTCTCTCTTGCTCTCCCTCTTTCTGCACACATGCACACACACACACACACACACACACACACATACACACACAATTGGTTTTATTTATCTGAAGAATCTTGATGAATAAAAACACTTAAAACATATGAACTTAATTACATGTAAATTGTTTGAAGTATATCTGAATACATTGAAAAAATAAAAGTATAGATCATAAAGTTCCAGAAACTGCAAGATAAACTTTGATGGTAGAAAGTAGATTCATACTGTAAGGGATTAGAGCAGATTACAAATGGGTTTGGGGAGGGTTTTAAGGGTGGCGAGTTTTGATAAATGCAAACACCTATGATACCAGGCATCAGTCATGGTTTCATGGGTGTTTGCATTTGTCAATACTTATTGAGGTGAACACTTTAAATAAGTTCACTTTATTGTATCTAAATTATATCAAAATAAAGTGGTCTTAATTTAAAATAAAAAAGAAATAGTGCATCTTATGTTAATTTTATATGGAGTGCATGGTGAAGTTTGATCACATCTATTCTGTAGGTGATAGCACTCAAAAATTGCAGATGAATTTTTTGAAAGAACATAGTTATAAAACACTCTACTGGTTATAAAAGCAAAGATCCCATATGTATGATAGGTATGAACTAAGAAACAAAGTAATCAGTTTAATTTAAAAATAGTTTGTCATTGAAATTAGTTTAGTTCAATCAGAAATATATGTTCAGCACCTACTTGGCAGCTGGATATATCACCATTTGAGAAAAGCATACTTTATAATCATAGCACATTCTAAGGATTATGCTGCCTAGCAATCACAAGGCCCTGAGTTTCATCCCCACTACCAAAGGAAAAAAAAGTTGTTTTCTTAAGTTAGTATAACAATCATTGTTAATTTGCAATTCTTGCTTTGGTATATGTGCCATATCTTTCACAGAGAACAAATTGGTCAAGTAATGGCCATGACTCATCCACATGGCTGACACTGACAAAGGATCTACAAACTTCAGTACAGGGTTTCAGGATAAATCCTGATGGGATTTGATTGATCTTATCACATACAAAAGTTACATTTCTTTTTATGTAGGTCTTGCTTTATCTTGGTCTTAACCATCCAGCAGAAAAGTATAAAAATGAGGTATAAAAAGTAAAACTATATTAATATGCTGAGCTGTAAAAGGCTCAAGTCAACAATTTCTGACATTGCCAATCCTACAGAAAACCCACTACTATTCCGGACTACTGGACTATATATTGAAATATTTTGCTGAACTCATACACCTCAATATTTAAATAACAATGAAATACCCTTCTTGGATAAAACTAAACAAATAATGAGATACAAATGAAGGACCATTTTATATCTGTATAATCAAAATAGTTAGGATAGATGTACAGCTACTTTCTCTTAATTCAATGAATAGAAAGATTTGTTCTCATAGTGTTTGTGGACAGGATATCATGTCTGCATCTTGTACAATGAATAACCACTAAGACAACACTATGCAATGTATTAATTATTGAAACTGTCCTACTAATAGATTTTGAAACTATCTTGTTGCTATTTATTTCTCAATAAAATTATTAAAAAATAAAATAACAAAGTAGAAATTAAAGAAATATGTGCCATCTATTGTTGTATGTTACTCTGTTTCTGTCTGTTTCTGACTTTCCTTTTGCTACTTGATTTTGCTTCTGTTTTTGTTTTTATTCTACTAAAATAAATAAACAAATACAGTTTCTTAGGTATATACATAAAACTGCAAAAACATTATATATGGGATGTTAGATTTAGTACCTGTTTAGTAATGAAGAATAAACATTTTGGTAATATAACACCGTGGGAGGCACAATAACTCCAGGCCTCCAATCGTATTGCAAGTGGGTTTCTGGGTTCCTTCTCCCCTACCTCTGATGAGCTAGGTTCCTAGTTCTTACTCCATTTCCCATAAGTCTCCTGCTATGCCACAGAGGTGGGACTTCCTGTCATAGCCCGGTTGCCTAGTTACTCGTGCCTTTTACCAGCCAATGTCATTTCTCTATGCCTCCACTATATATACCCAACACCTCCCCTGAATAAAACAAGACTTGATCAGAATCCTGTCTTGTCTGCGTTTCTCACATATCCTGTCCTTTGTCACCTCTCCAATTCCCCACTCCTCCCCCAGGTGACCTTCGTTGACTGACCCGCTGGTCCAGGACAAGTGGCACCCAGCGAATGGAGCACCTGGTACAGAGGGTTCAGGGACAGAACCATCCAAGAGAGCCAGCAAGAGAAAGCCAGCAAAAGAGAAAGTAAAAGAGGCAAAAGAGAAAGTAAAAGAGGCCTGCACCGCAGTTGCCTGCTGCGATGTTTGAACCTTGGTAAGTGGAACTCACCCCTTTCCACTTCCCTTCGGGAATGGGACAGGCATTAAGTGAACATGAGATATTTGTAGAAAGTTTGAGCAAAGTACTAAAGGCATGAGGAG